ATCACCAGTGGTAAAGAATGGTATTAGGTAACGGAGGCAGGAGAAAAAAATATTTAGTTTATCATTTCGCATACTGAATTAGGCCAAGCGATAGCAAAAAGGAGTGAAGTTTTATCAATTTTTCATAAAAAATATTAAATTTGTTTTCACGAGTGTTGCATCTTATGTTCTACCAGTCTTTCAAGTCCCCCTTTTTTCCTCCTTTTTTTTGTAAAAGGAACATCTTGCGAGAAAATGAAACTACAGAACTTGATACTTTAAGGGGTATTCTAATCTAGCACACCGATGTTGCCATGATTTCATTAATCCTGCTCTAGAATAGGCGCAGCAAAACTATCAGAGCCTGAACACTAAAGTTTTAGGAACAATTAAACACTATCAATAAATTAATTAATTCTCACTTAATTTACCTCAAAATTGAATAATTAATTGAATCAGCAAATCTGTACTAACATACTTTCGAATATTCAATATTTATACCTATTCAAACGATTCAAGCCGCTGATTATCTATGACTTTCTTATTTATAGTTATGACCTCAATTTGTGAAGATATACCCCTAAAAAAACACTTGATTAAAGTCGGTGCGTATTTATCACTTCGTACCTCGACGCAACAAGTAATAAATACCACAATGCCGTAAATTTTAATTATTATCAGACTGGCCTTGCGCAGCGGCAAGCTAATTCTTAAAAATTCCCATTTTCACAGATTCGCGGTTATCTATCTAACAGGTAAGTAGTCAGCATTCGGAGGCCGGATAAAAACGATAAAACTCCGAAAGAGTAATTAGTGTTGTCGTCGCCATAGCGCTGAGGACTCACGCAATCAAAATAACCAGCACTCGCCTCTGTCCAGTGTCCAGCGCTCTGCGGCAAAGCCAGAATTATTAATGGAAACTAGATCGATCCATTCAAGTTCCAAAAAAGTCATCACTGAATTAGGAGATCGACCCGAAGGGTTATCTTTAATGCAAGAGGAAATTTCCATATAAATAAGTCCGAATGAGTCCTCCAAAAACCACCCTGCTCATGGCCAATGCTAATGGCTAACGTACACTATTTATTTTTGTTTATTTTACCATTTCCTCTTCCCAAGTGGTACAGTGATCGCGATAAGTTAAGATTTAATTGGATAATGTAACGCGATTTTGTCGACGTCAATTTATAGCACCGTTCTTGGATGAAAAGGTGCGATAAATTGCGATTCCATCACATACATTTGCAAATGAAATCGCAATTTTATCGACGACGATAGGGCAGAATATGTGAGTTCCTGCCTCTTCGTCCGCAATCGTCGCCGCCGAGGCTCTCTGATCCGCTAACGTCACGTTACGTCACGGCCCTGCGCCGCCTTTCCGCTAACGCCACCATCAATAATTTGACTGCATTTTGCAATTTGGAACTATAAATTCTGGCCCGTAAAACAACGTATGTGCCATTAGTTTCCCCATGCACATACGTGTTTTTTCAGATGAGACTGAATTTATAGCTCCAAATTGCTTAATGCAGTTCAATTATATCGTCAACTCCCGGCCATAGTATCACAAGCGCCATACGACGTTTCAAAATTTCCGTCGCCATTTTATTTTTTTACAGAGAAATTTTTCGACGAGGTTGTCCAAAACTTTCACTGGATTTTCTTTGTGCTTCCGATAAAATTCAGTAAAATTTTCCAACAGATTCAATCAACAATTTCTCTGTAAAAAAATAAAATGGTGGCGGAAATTTTGAAACCGTCGTATGGCACTTGTGATACTTCGGTTTTTGTTCGTGATACGAACGTGACGATTTGAGAATCCGCAAACGCCACCGCACCTTCCAGGGCAGGATTTCCTCCAGCTTGGCTGCACAAAATGTCAGTGAATAGGTTTTTGAGAGGGTTGTTTGAAACAACAATACCTATTTGAAGAGAAACTCGAGAAAAAACATCTACTTGATTTTTATCAGAATTCTATCTAGGATTTTATGCGAAAACTATAGGCCGGCTTCCTTTAAATATTTCATATAGGTTCGTTTTTTCATGCATGAACTCAGTCTTCTGATAAGTTCCGATTCGATGATCCGGACGCAATCAGTACCGAAAGATACTCCAAAAGCTTTGTTGGGTCCCATCTCACCGCGCTATGAATTAACTGAATTAGGATGATATACATCTCTGAAAGGACTTTTTCTAACTCTTCAGAAAAATAAAATTCAAATATGGTGAGATGCACGCTTAATTTTTCCTGGTGTGACCATAAACGATTTTGCCGCGTTTCTTGCTTTTAGATCAGAGGAAGTAGGGGTCGCAGCCTACATTTTAGGGCGGTAACGTTGCTATTTATTTAAACAATCAAAGCACCATTCGGAAAATTGAAAATGCCGCGATAAAAAACTTCGTACTAGTTTACTCCATCGGCACAAGGGGTAACGCTAATATAAAATTACTGAAAGAGAGAAGCAACCTAAGCGCCTTTGGTTAGTGGAGAATGCGACGAACTCTATCCTTTCATTTTAAATGCTGGATGCAACTATTCGGGCTTCATGGATGTCCGTGTTGCATACGCACGGAACGGAAGGCGTTTTTGTTTGTCGGAGCACCCGTGGCGCCGTGGCGCTGCCAGAGGCGGGCGTAACTGCGAAAATCCAAAATGGCAGAGCGTTTTCACGCGTTCGTTTGACGCGTGCATAAACGTAGAAATAAGACGAGAATATCCTTTGGGGTTCGGAGGATTGCTGCAAGAGAGTGAGAGGAAAAAATAGACGGTCGGCTAGATTCTCTCCACCCAGGCAAAATATCGAACTATCGACCAATTTAACGCCATTGAGCAAATAGAATCTAGGAACGAAAGAAGTTCTCAATAATAAACTCACAGAACAGTCTACTATACTGCTCTTATATAGAAAAACGCCGCATAAGCCTTCAGACGTTGCCGAATTTCCCTTGACAAAATAAAAATTTGTGAATATTTCCTTCCAATCCCCCGGAGGATTTTATTCTCAATTTAATATAAAGTATCTAAAAATTTCAAGAAAATGCACGTATAAATTTCCTACAAAATAAATATTTTATCACGAGAAATCTGACAATCTTCAATGTTCATACGGCGTTTTTCCGTAGCACGGCAGTATAGTGCTGAGGTTTATGCGGGCTTTTTAATGCTCCCGTATGTGAATAGATACGCTCTTTTTTTTAAGACTCAATTTTAACTGAGGAGAATAATATCTCTCATGCAAATTTCTTTGGTCGTGCCGGGATACATATACATAATCTCGCAAGAGGCTCTGCCGCCCTTTAGAGCCCCCCCCCTTTGCCTCCCCGACCAGTAAAAAAAGTTTGGGAACTCTTTGTCATACATGGAGGTAGCCAATTTTCTAACGAGGGGAAAAATTCAATTTCTGCATCAAAACAATTTTCCGGAAAAAAGGAGACACGGCTGCAACCTAATAAAATACAACACCCCCCCCTCTCTCTCTCTCTCTCTCTCTCTATTTTCGAGTCATGCTATGTTACGTTTTGTGTGCCATGTTCTTCACTTGAGAAAATTCACTGACCATATTCAGGCCCCCCAATTCATGTTTTATCTCTTCCTTTCTTGCAACATTCGCTACAGTAAAAAATAAAATAAAAATAAATTGCCAACACCGCAGACCCTGGTAAAAATTGGGGATAGGAGCTGCGTTTCAAAATACAGAGTTCTTATAGCCGGCTAAAGAGGACGATAGAAAATCATATAGCTGGCTGCATGTACGAAGCGATAAAAAATTATACGGCCGGGCTACAGTTCCTATCGCCGGGCTTTACACTTTATCGCCTGGCTGTTGCTTTTTCGCCATCGGCTATAAAAGGCTATAAGAAATTGTGTAGAAATTCTTGTGCTTTGTAAATCCTTAAGTTTGTACGGAATCACCTTAATATTTACAAAACGCACATTATATTTTCCTTTTCTACACATTTTTTTTTTTCATCAATTAAAATGAGAATAATTCATACAGTGTGTGCAAACATTTCAAAGTCATGAGTTGAAAAACGCTGACTCCAAGAGATTAAATATTAGAGCCTAACACAAAGTGGATCGGCGGCGCACTGGCGCCTACAAACCTAACAGGGATACTACACGCATTGCGCAACGCGTGAAGTATCCCTGTTAGGTTTGTAGGCGCCAATGCGCGTCCAGCGCTGGCTGCCCGCCCGCCGCGCCGCAGCGTACCGCGGCGCCTGAAGCAACTATTTCACACCAGAAGTATTGCACAGTATCATATGAAATTGAAGGCGCTCCAACATATTAGGAATGGCAGGCATCCTTCAAAAGTACGGAGCTTCCCTCGCAAATTAAATCAAGATACTGCGGCCCAAAAAGAGAGCGGTAGTCCAAAAACTCACTAAGTCCTAGCATCCGTAATTACTTAGTAACGTTTAGCATACACTCTATCGCCAGGCTGTTGTTTAGTCACCATCGGCTATAAAAGGCTATAAGAAATTGTGTTGCCGGCTATAGAAGCTATTGGAAATCTTACAGCCGGCTGTAGGTCTATGGTATTTTGGAACACAGATTCTACTGCCAATTTTTACCGGGGGACTTTTTTTTTGTGCACACATTTAATCATATCTTCTTCTTTTCCTGTAATTTTTTTCGGTACTTAAGAGTGCTGCAGAAAATGCTCTGCTAATGAGCAATATATTTTAGAGGCTTGGATGACAAGGTGCATAAGTGCAATTTTTGCTATTATTCGAGATATGCGTGTTTCAAATATCGAAATTATATGGAGCCTTATGGCGGAAAAAAAGTTCAAACTGCTTTTTTGATGCTTAAAAGCTGTATTCTGGAGTGAATATTTCACAGAATATGCATTCAGATTAGTTTTACGGGAAATAATTAATATCTCAAATTTTTCAAAAACTGCACTTATACGCCTTGTCCTCCAAGCCCAAACCCCTCCTATGATCATTCTTGGCAACTCTAGTTGCCTACCCACCACGGAGTTGCGTCAGGCTTATCAATTTTCCATCGTTCACCGCTTCGCTGTTGTTAACGTAACCTCAAAATGGAGACAACTGCCTGTGCTCCAATGTCAAGCATTGATTAATCAAAGTAAAATCTACCATGTTAATCGCTTTTTACCTCCAAAGTTATGGATGAAGCATGGAATCAACTTTCATCAAAACTCGAAGCCTTACAGGTATGGATATCTAGCAAAAATCCTTATCAGTTCTTGTGCTCATTTGTGGGAGTTGTTCTGTTGACATTCTTATCACCTCAGTATTGCAAGCTCAACGTGAATATTTTAGATTAGGAGTTGAAATGTTTAGAAAAAGCGCCAAACAGCTGAAATTTTCTTGCTTTACCTCTCCTTTTAAATTCTAAATCATTAAGTGTTGGGTTTTCGTTCCTCAGGATTTAAGCGTTTTAGCCTGCATCTGGCGGGTGGCCAAACCTATGTTTATTTTGACATTTTGTATTCACCCTACCTTGTCAATCATGTTTTATTTTTGAAACAAGCAGTTTTAAAGAATTAACTACGGATCAATTTTCGAGATCATTCACAGAGGTCCACACTAGCTAGTCAACGTAGTGACTTTTTTCGATCTAGAGCACCCTTCAGAACCAAGATCGACATGAGACTATACGCACTGTTTACTCAGACTGAAGACAATCTGACAATCATACTCTCCAAGATATGCAAGCATTAAATTTTTGAGCATGAGTGGAACCAGTCTTGTTTGCTTACGTTTGACTACCGACCAATTAATGCCAATGTCACAGGGACGTAGAATGTGGGATTAGGTTTCCTAAGATTTCTAAAATTTGAAGTATTTAAGTTTGTGTTGTAAAAGATTAAGTCTATCAACACCCAATATCACAAACAGGCACTCAAGTTAAGTTCTTAAAATTATATTGCCATTGTAAGCAACCAGTTTCATATTTTTTCCTTAGACCTACTTAGTAAGGCTGAGTAAACAGTAGCTGGTAATATCCTGTATACAATAAGTAACCAAGCTTATAGAGCAGACAAAATATTTTAATTTCATGGTTTTGATTTTCATCTACTTACCACTCTCTGTGTTTAAATGACAAAATATCTTTTTCCAGGCATTGTTACTCGTAGCGATTCAAAGTGGACAAACAACTTTAACTGCGATTGCTGATCAGGGACATGGATATGTTGTCGACATATTGGCATCCCCCAGAATCATCAAAACTCAGGAACTTGCAAGCAATGCAATCACCTCTCTTTTAGATGCACTAGATCATGCACAACAATTTTCTAGTCAATACATTAGTTCAATCATCGTTCTTTGCAGTAACTCGCAGCTTTTCCATAACAAATGTAAGTGTACATAGTGTTCAAGTAAAGGGCCGTCCATACAATATGCAACGCTTCACGGGTGTGGGCATGGAGAGCATTATGCCATTCAGTTCTTAAGTATCCAATGATGAGCACATATGTCACAGAAGTGTTCGATGGGGGAGGGAGGGTGGCTGGAAAGTCCAAAATAAGGCAGTTTGTATTTTATAAGCAATCCCTAAGTACCATCAAACAAATCTTGTCCAGAATTTTCTAAGTATTTCTTAATTTAATTTGATTAAAGTTATTTAATTTGATCAAAGTTATTTAATACTCAGTGCCAAATGTTTGATTTGTCCCGATTCCAGGAAGTCAATCATTGTCGGTCGCTGTAAATTGGACCGCATTAAACAGAAAAGAACCGAACCACATTAGCTATTGCCAAATTTAATTAGGAAATTTAATTTTTTACATGAAAATGGTTGTGCGGATTTTCATACATAGTTTAGTGGATTTTCTCCATAATAGGTACCTAGGAAGCAAATTCCTTTAAATTTTCAAAGGAATCCACACAAACGTTCTCTTGTTAAAAATTAAATTGCCCCGTGAAATTTGGCAATAGCTGATGTGGCTTGGTTCCTTTCTGTTAAACGCGGTTCAATTCTTGTTTCCTTGAATCCACCATGTTTCCATCTAAATTCTAATAACATCGCGTAATAACTCTTAGATGGAGCTTCAGAAATTTTATCTTCACTGATGTATTTATTACTTTCAGAATTCAACTCTTTCCTAATGTTTGATCTTTTTCTCTGTTACAGTAAGTAGGTCAACAATCTGTGCAGGATGTGTAGGATTGGTCATCGGAAGTGGGATTGGCCTGATCATAGGTTTAAATTTGAAAGTTGCTCTGCAGCCAGCATCTTCAATGAGGGCAGTTGCAGCTACGAATTTCTCAGGAATAGATGTAAGTCATCTCTTTGAAACAACGTTTTCCTTGGATCCTCGGAATCCTATGAAAAATGAGTGCTAGACCTAATTGAAATCTGCTGTATGATCTGGACGTATTTTTGCTTAAGAGAACTACATAAAAGTGAAGAAAATCAGAATGAATCATGATGCAAGCAAATTTTATGCACAAAGTTTCTTTTGCCTTGATTCACTTTAACATAGTTCTTCCTAACATAAATATGTCCACAAGGTGTTTATTGTCAGCAAAATTGACAATGGATTTGAAAATTCCAAGTGGTCCATCATTCTTCAACCACATGTTGTTACCGCATGCAAAAGTGAAACGTTTGATCCAATTCATAAAATATGTTGGCTTGTCAAATCTAATGAAAGTCAATTTATTTGCAAAAAAAAAAAATCAGGAAATTTCATTTATAACATATAGAAAATCTTTATCAGGAAAATCTAAAGTGAATCTTGGTAGACATCCTGTCACAGCATCAAACCAATCTACCTCTTCCAAGAGTGTAAATAATGTCCAATGGGAAGCATTTTATGGTCAACTCAATGAATATTTTATTTGGTTGTTCAGGGGAATCTAGATCAGGATCGTTTCACAGTATTATGTTTTTGAACTTTTGAAGTTATGGTTTTCATTTGTACAATACAAGAAATGGAGTGACCTCTTTTGTTTATTTCCACCTAGGCTGTTGCTCTATTAGAGGATGTATTCACTCCCACAATATCTGCACCAGATGAAGTACTTATTCACGTTCGAGCAGCTTCAATTGACACCGTTGACATCATGGTTGCTGGAGGGTACGCCCGCACTTTGAGGAAGCAATTAAACAAGTACAATTCTGTAAGTTTACAATTTTCAAACTGTAGTTTTTGTTTTTCTCCTTTCAGTCTCAAAAGTTCCTAACAAATTAATCAAATCGTTCAATTAATATAATATTAGGTACCAAATTTTTTGTACAATCCTCAGCCAGGTTTTTAGTCCTTAAATCTCGGAAAGGAGCATCTTTTAAGTTGTACTAAAAGGTAGCAATGCACGAAGAAACATCTAATTTTCAGCTTATTGTCTCAATTTGATATAAGTTCATTCACATGAAGTTGGGCACACCTAGCAGAATCACACTAAAGAGCTTTTTGCCTCTATCCTGCAGCATAATTGACAGAAGTTTTGAAACAATTTTTTTAATTTACCTTTTTTTCTTTCTTTAGAATGTATCTGGAGAACTGCCTGTCATCCTTGGTCGTGATTGTAGCGGTATCGTAATGGAAATGGGTCATGAAGTTCGTAAATTCGACATTGGTGATGAAGTGTGGGCGGCAGTCCCACCATGGGCTCCGGGGACTTTGGCTGAGTTTGTTGTTGTTAAGCAGCATTTTGTCTCCCGTAAACCCAAATGTCTCGGATTCGAAGGCTCTGCAACTTTACCATATTCAGGATGCATCGCCTGGCATGCAGTGGTGAATAAGGCAGGTCTAAGTGGAAAATCAGGACAAGGTAAAAGGTTTGTATCGAGTATTTAATAATTTAACTTTTCCCCTTCCTCCTTAATTTTATTGCACCGTGTAGTTCACACAAGGATTATTCAGGAAGTCTCGCTGGTTTTGATTGGTCGTATTCAAACAATATTCAAGGTAGAGAAAACACAATTATACATGCTAATCAGATGCACTCTCAACTTTAATTTAAGCCCAAGTTCATTGTTTTTCAACAAGTGAGACACTCAGGAGATCAGTTCTTATTCCTGTTCCTGTTCCTCAACACATTTGACGTTTCCTGCTTCTTCTTAATTTTTGACAATGGCTGTTTTAAATTAAATTATCATTATAAGCCGGGTTTCGGGGAAAGTTTGTAGTACATAAACCTTTTTGGTCAACTCTTCTTGGCTCAAATGCAAAGCTCTGACAATTTTGATGGACAAATTTATTGAAAAACAGATGATGCTTCATTGAAGTGCCAGATACACCTGCAAGCTAGAAGCGCGTCTTGAGCGGCGAGTCGGCCTTCGGATGGTTTGGCAATCTTCATAGCTAAAAAGGTCGCAACTTGCCCCCTGTAACTCGCTCAAAGTAGGATAGGATCCTACTTTTAACGGCTGTCTAGCCAGCAGGTGTATCTGGTGCTCGAGGACCTAGGTTGACAAATAATCTCCTTTGTCCACTGAGAGGATCTTAAGAGCCTCCCAGCAGTAGAGAAGCAGGGATGAATGGCAGTTTGGTAATTTAAAAGTCTAAGAGTTTAAATAACCATTTAAACAAGATTTTTTGGTTCTTGGGTACTCATAATGCGAAAATAAAAGTTGAGCTTTTAGCCGATTTTACAAATATATGCAATGATTAGGACTCAGGCTATGCTTTAATAAAGAAACAATGTGCAAGAGGATGTTAATATATTTACAATTTTACCTTAACATGGTAGACAAGCAAACATTTCGACCAACACTTCGGTCTTTTTCATTGCAAAGAAAAGTGCATAAAAAAGAAGCATGGCCTGAGTCCCAATCATTGCATACATTTGTGAAGTCGGCTGAAAGCTCAACTTTTGTTTTCATAACCATTTAAACTACCTAAAACTGTAAGATTATGTCCGTTCGTAGAATGTTATGCATCAGCGAAATATGTCGGAAACTGCTGAGTGCCAATATTTGTGAGCAGCTGATCTTTATTTCTTCCCTGAAGATTATGTGGCAATATTTTTTATGATGAAATATACTTTCAGGGTTTTAGTTCATTGTGGAAGCAGTAGTATCGGAGTCCTAATAGTCCAGCTTTGTCGATATTTTGGAGCTCACATCACTGTCACCTCCGTTGGAAGAGTTAGCTCTTTCATGGCAGAGCTTGGAGCAGATGAAGTTCTGCCATTAGAAGTTCCTGATATTGAAAAACAGCTTGCAAAAATGGAAAAGTGAGTTTCTTAAATCTTACTATTTGTCCAATGATGTTTGAATTTATGTGAAATCATTGTGATGCTCTTGTTCTCTACTCTCAAGGCATGATAGAAAAATAAGGTACAAGTGCATGACTATTTGTAGATCCTTTTCTGAAAAGTACTTGCTTTTTTGATCAAATAACTGTGCAGAGATTTTTACAGAAACATAAGACACCCTCATGCAAGGGTTCACAAATTTAAATTAAGAATTGTATCAAGAAATTAAAAATGGTATTCAGTATGAAAGATGATACTATTCTTGTTAAGGTTCAGAGTTGACATCTAGCAAGGTTGAGTTTTAGATTTCGCTTGTTTTAAATTTCAGGTTTTCCGTCATTTTCAATACAGCTGGGTCGGTAGCCCATCAGTTTTGTCTTCAACTTTGTTCCTCTGATGGTATGGTTATTTCCACTGTCAATTCTCCACTGCCATCTGACTCGTTTGGAATATTCCTAGGCAGTTTGTACTCCATATGGATTAGGATTACTCATGTAAGAAAGCGTCCATTTTTTCCTCCATATCATACATTTTTCTTGTAAAGTATTTGTTTTATGTTTAGTTGATGAGGCAAATGTATGTAGAAAGATGACTGTCAAAAGATAAAGTGTCTAGACTTTCAAATGATTTACCTTAAAATATCGTCCAATTTTGGAAAAAGAAGGTTTATAAGTGTGTAAGAATACTTTTACTTCCGGAAAGATTCTCTCTTCTGTGATTCTTTGTTTGGAAGCGCATAAAAATGAAATGGCATTAGTATTATTTCATTTTATCAATTTTATTGGCTACTGACTCAAAAGGATTTTGGAGAATAATCCAAAATTGCATTTTCCATATTTTTGCTATCTCTGCTTTATTTGGTTTGGATGCTGGTGTATGTGTACTGAATTATAATGTGTTTTTATTTGTGAATTAAATTTATTTTCTTCTTTTCCTGCAGGGTATTTTTGGTTGTAATAGTTGGAATTCGGTCACAATTAGTCACTCTGTTTTAGAAGAGTTGAGTCTGCTTGTGGACAGAGGTCATTTAAGGCCTGTCGTCGATAGAGTTTTTTCTCCACAACATGCTGACCAAGCAATACATTATGTGGACTCGCTTCTAGCATTTGGCAAAACTGTCATTCGATTCAGGTGAATTTTCTTATTTTTCTCCATAAAAATCAAAATAAATTATCACCTAAATAAGCTTAATAATCTCTCCTCAATAACTAAAAAAGCCTTATTGAAGTTTACTCATAAAAAGAGGAGACGACAAGGAACCAGAACTTTTGTGCGTTGATTTGTGGTTATTTAATACTCTGTTACTGTCTTGGCAAATATATCAGATTTGATGTTTCGATTTTGCTTTTGTAATGCAGCTCCTGTTCTATCTATGAGTTCCTACCTACAGACCAGAGGATAATATATTAATCATTTAATGGATCTTCAGGGGAAATAAAAATTTCAGTTCAAAGAGTCAATGCTCAGCCATTAATCCATTAAATTCATCAAAAAATATGTGGTGACTGTGGAAATAAAAAATGGGAAATCCGTGAAGGAAGTATGGGCAAGAAATGTCTCGCGGCTAAAAGTGATTTTGGTAGTCTAAAATTCTAAAGATACTTTTCATCCTACGTTGATGAAATTTAACTCTAAAATTTCTTTCTAGTAAGTTTACTTCGTAACAACTTGTCTCCATTTTTTTAAAAAATGACAGGCACCTTTGAACATAGTTTATTTCATATTTGATTAAAAAATTATCTTTAATTTTTTTTTAAATCCTTTTTCATGAAATTTTGTCTATTCTGAAAGATTCCCTGTCGATAGTGATGGTTCATCGGGTACAATGAAGTTAAGTCAATCAAATATGAATAAACAAACAAGACCTCCTTGTTGTCAGGAAATCAGAATTTTGGAAAATATAGTTTTGATTTCAGAAAACTATTTAGGTATGTAGTTTCTAACCTGACCCATCTGTAGTTTATGGCATGATCTGGATACAAAATTGAGCTCTGAATTCTAGAATTTAGCTGTCATGTAGTGGCTCTCCAGTCCAACACCATAATTTTGTATAATTTCATACAAGTAATATGATTATTTTGTGCTTATTATGTTTTAGTCATGGTGATGGAAGCGGTGCATCAACAAAATCTGAAGCAGTTGGTTGAGCTAAAATCTAGGAATGTCTGTTTTCTCTCTTTCATCGATTTGCGCCGTCCAAAAATCAAACTTGTAGTAAGTTTTCATAGTCACCTCAATATTTTTCAGGCATTGATGATAATACATTTTTGTACAATTCATCAAGTAAAACATATTATGTGAGAGAAAGAGTGGTTATCAACTTGAAAGTTTTGGGAAATGCTCTTCTTTACTTGTTTTTATTGTATTTCTTGTTGGTACTAAAAGAAATTTGAGATACTGCTAAAATTAGTTTCAAGACAGATTTTTTCTCTCAAACATTTATGAATATGAAGAATATCATACATTTGAATCAGGAGCTTATTCAATTTAATTTTCAGATATTTTTAGCTCAGTCCTTTCAGTTGTTTTAATTTTCTGAATAGATTTTGTGTTCAATCACTACGTATAGTCAGTAGCCATCAGTACTTGTTTTGAAGTCAGAATTGCCCCTCATTGTTTCTTTGAGAATTTTTCATTTTTTTCTATCTTGGAATAACGTTATTTTTCCATAAATGGTGAAAATATGCAAATTCAAATGCACCAACCTGTCAATTATTGTTTTGAGAAATTCCTTAGCAATAAAGGGTTTTAAGGTCCATTTTGAATTTCATCAAAATACAGCCTCAATATTTTGATAGTAATAACTTTAATGGTAACTGACTAGGAATAAAAGTACCTAGATGGAGTTTAGAAATGTAAATTTTTAAAATGGAAGAAATTATATGCCATTGTATTTTGCCATGTTTCAGGAAAAATGTTGAAATATTTTTGTAGGATTCTTTTAGTCCTTTTGCCAACTAATAGCTCTAAATTTCAATAATGAAGACTTCCTTTGTACTAATAATTGCAACGGATGCATGGTTGAGTGACACATTAATTGATGGAGGTGCACAATTTCCTATTGGAGCTAATTTACCTGCTGGTATCTACTTCCATATCATGGTGCTTTATGATAGAGACTTATTAAAATTAAGGGAAGAATTTTAAGTGTCATATCTGCAACTTTGAATCTTTTTTCTGCGTCTGTTTCCTGTATTTTTCTCCTTTATTGAAGAGGTGAGGAAGCAGCTGAGCAGTATTTCCAATTTTTTAAATTTTCCAATTTTTATCTATTACATATTAAGTGGTCTCAGAAGGAATATCGCAGATGCTCTTTTGACGTAATAAATTTTTAAAGTATTAAGTATTTCTTACAAAAATATATGATATTTCAAGGCTTGAAACCAAACTACAAGACTGTATCAAAAGAAAACAGCTTCAATTATCGTATCAGAATTCTTTTAGCAACTCAATTTCTATGGATTGCATTGATTTCTGTTGAAATTTTTTGAGGTAGTCATTTGTGCAGAATACCGAAATTAGGAAATCTATACCTAGTGTTAATTTATGGCATTTTTGTGACTGTACCCTTTTTTAAATTCTACCTATAGGCCACGCCATCACAATTGCCAGGGAGGGGGAGGGGGTGAATGAGTCAATGTACCTAAGCTTTAATTTTTGAACAATTCCTGTCACTGACTCTACCCCTCACCTGTCATTTTTCATGGCGTGGAGTTATTTCTGTAGGAAACAGGAGGGAAAAGGAGGTAAAAATGAGGATGGAAAAATAAACCTCGAAAAAGATCTGTTAGAAAATAGTATGATGGTAAAATAATCGCATGAAAGTTCTTTATGAAAATTAAATTTTCAAATTTATGTGTGCGTTTTTACCAGAGACAAGAGACCCTCCACTGGTCTCTTGGCGACAGGTGGAAGCTTTTACTTTCGAGGATTCAAAACTTCCCTATGGACAATTATAAGGGAGCAACAGTCATCACTCTTTTTTCGGTTATTGACCTAACTCCTAGGTGGATGATGTGTATTGGGTGACGTCGTGAGCCAATCAAGTTTCCCAAAATTCGGTTTGTTTGTGAAACCAAACTCCCAACACCCTGTTAACCATCAACCTAGTAGGTAGGGCAACAGTTGAATGTTGAAGTCCGGAAAGTAAAAGCTTCCACCATTGCAGAGATACGACTGGAGGGTCTCTTGTCTCTGGTTTTTATTTTTCAAGGATAATTTTTTATGGAACTTAATCAAATGGAAAGTTACTGCAGCAAGCTGATGATTTTTTAGTGTTTGCTCAGTTTTTTTTCACCAGACTTTTGTAAACGAAAGATGAAAAATTGTGTACATTTTCAATTGAGACCTCTGTCTCAAAAATTATTTCAAAAACATTTTTAATAATAATTTTAAATAAATGTGTACCTATTCTCGATATTTTTAACAGAAGTTTCAGACCATTCAAATCCTATTGCACTCTCTGAGGACAAGGTTTGACCGTGGAGGTCTTTTTAAAACTCTCTAATTATTGTCTCATTTACAGTCTCATTTAGGCTATCTCGACAAAGTACATATTACCTAGTTGCCAACAATGACCAAAATTATAATTTAAGATTAGTAGGAAGTAGGTACTTGTACTTGTAAAATTTCTGATTCTGCTGTATCCAGGAAAAGAATCTTGTAAGTTATGTTTAGGTGAATAAAAGAAACAAATTTTATTTGTTGTCTAATTATTTATTCATCTTATGGTTTTGATTGACGCATGATTGAAATCCTTAAGAAACACATTTTTACATGAATTTTGCTCTTTATAATGTTTTTAAGAACTCGTCAAAAAATGAGCATTTTAGAGGGACTTTTAAGAAAATATGAATGTAACATCTACAAAAGACCCTCTATAGTAAGCAAATAGACTCTAAGTTGCTGTAAGACTTTTTAGCATGATAATCACCTATAATGCATTTTCGATTCCCCTTTGTTTTCGTAAATTCACACAAACAGTTCACAGGACTTTTACAGACTATGGAGTCGTGTTTACAAATTTGATTTTACATAGTTAAAGAAACTTTAGTAATTGATTCCACCGAGGTAAACAAACAATACACACTAGGAAAGAAAGGAAGAATAAAAAATGTAGGAAATTATTGTAATTTAATTGCAAAATACAATGAATAAACCAATTTCATGACTAATTCAACATTACACACGTGTTACATTCAGTAAAATTATTTTAAATTTTTGCCCAATCTATGGGCATTTGTGAAAGTTTTCAATGAAAAACCATTGAGAACTACCGTATCCAAAGAGTGTATGTTAAAACACATTTTATTATTTTTTTTTTAACCTCCCCTTATTTTGCAAATCCAGACTTCAGTCATGAATAACATCATTCTAAGCCGTATGCGTATCCCCTTCCCTTATTTCAGAGGACTTTTGTCGAAGTGTGTCCTAAAAATTATGCAGTTTTAACAGTAGTTAGGTCTGCAAGGACATACCGCAGATCTGACTCTGTTTTCTTGTAACATGCTATTAAAGGTTCTTCGTAATTTAGATTATGCATTCTTAATTAAAAGGTCAAAGTCATAAACCATACATCTCTATTCCGATGTTTCTAAACCAATGTCCTTTCCTATTTTATTTTTTCGAAGAGATGCAAACATTGCTGGATTTACACACAGTGGCCGTAGCCACTATGCGTATTTCTGAGGCGCCGCAAAAAATTTAGAAAGAGAAAAACAGGGATAGGGCACTGCCCTCAACACTGTGGCGAACGTGGCGATTCAGTCCAGAAGAATCAGGTGCAAGATGATGACCATTTAAGACTGATAATAAATTGATGGGAAATTCTGAAAATCTACATAAAAAATGTGTTGAGTATGTAATTTATGAACGGCAGGACACACCCCCCCCCCCCCCCCCCCCCCCCCCCCCCCCCCCCCNCCGGTAGTGTGTGACAGGTGAAAAGCTATGATTTTCCTTCCTTTTCGCATGATACCACATCACGTACCTACTCAGGAGTCTGAATAGTTGCGCGTATGATATCCGATTTCCGCATTTAACGATGCTAGCTTAATGCCTACATTCGTTAACGCCAGTGATTTGAGACAAATTAAGAATTTTGAGAAAAGCTTCAACAGAAATTTTATTCATAACTACCCAGAATGGATTTAAAAATATAATACCAGCTATACTTATCTTAATAGTTCTAATTATTTGTTTTAATAGCCTAATTTTAGAACATTAATTTTAATTCCCATGCATTCATTACAACATTTACAACATTAATTTTAATTTGCCTTCATTTCTGCGTGATACCGCATCACACACCTAATCAAGAGTTCGAAAAGTTACGCGCCTGCTTTTTTAAGTTAGCAATCCAAGCATAATGCCTACACTCATAGACGTCAGTAATTTGAGACATTTGAAAAGCTATGATTTTCCTTCATTTTCGAGTGACACCACATCATATACCCACTCCGTAGTTCGAATAGTTGCGCGCTTTTAATTTCCGCATTCAACATCAACAATGAGAGCATAATGTCTACACTCATACCTAAACGTCAGTAATTTTAGAAAAGTAAAAAACTAAGATTTTCCTTCATTTTTGCATGATACCACATCACATACCCACTCTGGAAAGAAAATCAAACTTGCTTAGCCTCATGGGTCTATAAACTGAGTGTTCCGTCAACAGAGAGGGAAATCAAGTAAAATGAATCATGTACGTACTTCTGAGCAGAATTTCCTGTCTTCAGTGGTTTGTATGATAGGCTACTAAGTAACAGTTCCCCATAGCATTTCAGGCATTCACATCAGGGAATCATCACTTCAATCGCTGAAGAAGTTCTGAAGTGAATTATTACTTATTCATTAATTTCAAATAATACAGATCTAATCATAAGGACAGACCAATCAAAATCAGGCATGAGTTGGACAATCTTTCATCCACATCCACTGCGCGGCACTTGAGAACAGCAAGCAGCAACGACAATCCTTCCTATACTCGAGGCGCTACCTATCGGTGAAGAGGTGGAACTATCCGGAGCGACTCGAGACCAACTCCCCCCGCTCGCTCCCCGCCGCCATGGCGTCGCGTCGCCACTCTGTCTGGTGGCCGGCGAGCTCGGGTCCAGTCCCTTTTATCCGCGCGTCTTCGAGGAATTTGAGATAGCGCCTGGCGCTAAGCGAATTCCTCCGAACCTTTTTTCCTTCTTCCTCGTGACCCAGTTCTCCGAGTAAACAAAGGACCACCCAAGTCGTTCCTCGTCAGTATTTACGCGCCCTGAAATCGCAGCGCTACACGCGTCCCTGGCTCGATGGGCACATCATTTCTGGGTAGTTTTTCACGGGGAATCCGAATTTCATGTCAGATTTATGATCCTGAGCCCACAAAAATTTATGAACCTGTTCTTTTGCGGCAATACTTGTTTCATCACTAACATTAATCAGTAAGCATCAGGCGTTCAAGACTTTATGTTAGTGAATCGAAGGGATAGAAGTATAGATAGTAATGATCCCAGTTGTTGTGCATTCTCTCCTTTTTTCCCAAACACATGAAACTTGGCGTCTTCGATCTGAGTGCAAATGCAAGACTGTGTAGCGGGTTGGCTCAAACAACTTTAAACGTTTTTTAGACTTTTTGTTCTTACCGTAGACCCTGAGCGACAACTTAAATTGAAGAAAAATGAAGTTTTAAAAATTCATAACCATTTTTTGCCGTCAAAACTCACTAGATCCTATTATATTCTTGATGAATTAAAAAACATAGCCGTCAAAAGTTGGTTTTTAGCACTTTTTGTGAGGTCTACGGCAAGGAAAAAAAAGTCTGAAAAAACGTTAAAAGTTATTTGAACCTACCCCCCCCACCCCCCTCCTCCCTCCAAGTGCGCTTTCCCCCCCCCCCCTCGTGATATCTCTTCCCCCCCGGCCCTCGATCTAAGTCTAAGTGCGCTTTCAAGATATGTATTAAAATGTTTTTGACAAAACGAAAAGTGTAAACCCTAAAATAAGTTAAAACAATTTTAGGGGATGGACCGGCAGTCTATCAATTTAAATTATGCCTCGCCTGTCGAAGGAAACTTGTTTGCACGTGACATTCAGCCTTTAATACAAAACATGAGATCCTATATCTGGAAGACAATTAAGCTCTGAAGCCCCTGCTTCATCGCCATGAATTTCAGTGGCGAGGCGTGAAAGATCGATTATTGATATTTCCCTATTGGAAGCTATAGTGAAGGATCAATTATTAAGGTGTTCGTTGCGAACACCCTGATTATCGATATTTTTCCTTAGGTTTAAATTGCAGATCAATCCATACATCGCAAAGTACACCACGCCTCTTATGGATTTCTCATGTTTAAAATGTAGTTTGCTTAATAATTTCATGGATGGATCAATTTGGTTGTGAACTTCGGCTTTTTCATCTGGAATCAGCAAACAAAGCCCTCAGTTTTGCAACTACGGCTGAATCGTGCTCGCTCAGTTCTTCTTCACTCCAAAATTCTGCCCTCAAGTTCAAATACTCCCACATTTTTCCTTTACTTATGCCCAGGGGAGAGTTCAGCAGAGCCACCCAATCTGGGCTCCACTTGCCAGCCAGGAACTGAAAAATAGACGTGGCACGTGTCAATCAAAAATGGCGATGTACATAAAAAGACATAATTCGAAAATATATCGTCTATCCCTCAGTTTTTGTATTGGTACCTTAATGAAAAGAAACAGAAAATAATTGGAAAAGGGGTGGATATATTTGGACGAAGCGCATACTCTCAAATAAAATGCTCCGACTTCCAAAATTGAAACTTTCGGATTATGTTGCCATAAAATATAGGTCATGAAAAGTGCACTGCAAACATAACATCAAGGGCCGAATTTACCATGTTGGCGCGCGCCTATATACACGGGGAAAAAAACTTCTTGCGTGAGACCCGAAGTTGAGGTCATATAGATCTCTGAAGTTTTCGGATCACGTATCTAAAAACTTGAGGTCCAGCTGCCGAAGCTCGGGTCAGACATCTGAAGCACTTATACCGAAGGGTTCGGGTCAGACATCTGAAGTACTCCGGTACATACCTGCCGTATAAGTGCCTCGATGTCTGACCCGAACTTCGGTGGCTGGACCTCAAGTTTTCGGGTGCATGACCTTAACTTCGGGTCCCATGCACGAAGTTTTTTTCTCCGTGTAGGGTCCTGCGCTACATTTTGTTTTTATTTTTTTGGGCCCCCTCTTCTCGCTCAAACTGTTGGCTATCCATCAGTAGGCGGTTGAAATTTGTTCTACCATTTCTCGAAAGTGGCCTGTTGCAAACTGCAGCAAGAACAAAAACGCAGGAGGGATGCATTTTTGGTCTGACTCTTTCTGTTTCTTCCCCTTCATAATGTGTTTTAAAAATAACTCAAATTGCGTTGAAGAGAAGTTTAAATTTGACAATTTTTCTGGGGGAGATCACCCAAACCTCCCTCTACCAAGAAAGTTCACCGCCGAACCCCACCCCCAAATGAAGAGGGAGCTGCACCCAGGGGCCCAATCCTAAATCAGGCCTTAGATCAGAAGTTCCGGCTTCGAAACCTGTGACTCCCGCACTGAAAAAAAATTTTCGGCGTTTTTACCAAGGTCCGTTGGTACCTTTACCACCTCACTTTTTTTTACCAATTATTGGTAATTTTACAAAGACAGACTGGTAAGCTTACCTAAAAACCGGTATTTTTACTGTTTTTTCAGGTAAGAATACCACTTTTATTTGTAATCAATTCCCGGTAACTTTGCCATTTGATCTCGGAAATTCTACCACAGTCGATAAAAAATATTGGCGTTTTTAAGAAAGTCCAGTAAAATTACCGAGAAAGTTCAATCACTTTACCGAGATTTCTCGATAAAATTACCAATTCCATAAATGGTAATTACCAAGAAAAAACTGGGATCAAATAGAACCCTGAATTCGTGGTAATTTTACCCTTTTCTTAGTAAATATACCGAGATTGTTTTTTCAGTGCGGTTATGACCCCGGAATTGCATCCTCTAAGTAGATGTACTGATGTGCTCCCGTTCATAAGGTTCGAAGACCTGAAAATTTTGTTGTCAGTCTGTAGCAAATATAAAATAGACGTTTATCCTCCATAGCTTTTCGTATGGTCGAATCATTACCACGAATCCTGTAATTTTTTAATTTTGATTCTACACGATGATTTCCCGACTTCACTCAAACCCAAATTTAAATCAGTCCATATTAGAGTCGCATCGTAAGAACCTTTTACCTGATCGTATTGTTCAGAATCTATGTGAAACATTTTGTAGAGGAGAGTGTTGGAGTTTTCAGGCAATGGCGGTTGTCCTAACTGCGTTCTCAACCAGCGATAGTCTTGCTTCAGATATTCATACATCACCTGGTAGAACATAGCAAGATAATAATACAAACGAAAAAACAAAAAAAGCTGCATCCTAATAGTACAATCATACGGAGAAACGGTTCAATTCATAAAGTTTTTTTTCAAACATAAATGTAGCTGGTAAACATTTTAGATTTCGGGTTGGTTCATGAACTGAACAGGAAGAAAGGAGATAGGGTATTTCATCAACTAGGATACATTTTATAAGATTTTTATTCAGGACATATTATGTCCTCAAAATTGCTTTTAAAGCAATCAGATAAGCTAAGTGCGAGTATCAGGTAAATGCTTGATTAGTCTTCTATCTTTTTCATTATTGTGCAACACGCATTCCTAAAACGAAATTCCAAACCCTCCCATGCATTATGTGCCTACGGGTGAGTGATAGGCGTCTTCCTTTAATTTTTCTTAAATTTTTCAGAAAAGGAGCGAGACATTTCTCCCAACAATACGGAATTTTAAAATTTGTATGATTAAATAATACTGTATTTTACCCGCCCTCTATCCATTTGTAACACATTATAACGAAGATTCAAAACCTCCACGCCTTTCAAATGCGTATCGGTAAAATTAAGTGCTCCATTAATGTATTACCTTCACGGCGATTCTACCGGTAGGGTTTAGAAGAAGTTTGCTGACTTGAACTTCGTGTATGTGCTGCACGTCCTCGATGAGCATTTGCTCATCTTCGTGGAATGAACCGACGTCAAATTGGCTGAAACACACATCCGAATTTTGAAAAACTTATGTGTAAATTTTAGTTTTCGGCGAACGTCATTTTAAACGTTGTTCATTAATTACCTAAAGTTAGTTAATTTTTTACGACGATCAGCAACTAGGCTATTTAGGTCAGACACCAAGAATTTATCTTACATTTTTCAATTTACTTGCTTAAAGAGCTTTAAAATTTTGGTAATTACTTTTGGGTCATCAGAATTTATAGGATCAATGTATGGTCGGAGGTAATTTTGAATTTTGATACGTTTAGCGTAGGTTTTTGGGCAAGAAAGCAAAATATTGTTCATATTATATACTATTTATATCAGCAGTGAAACTATCGGACCACGTATCTCGTTTGCGGTGTTTAAAAATCTCCGCTCCCATTTTATTTTTTTGAAGAAGCGCAAATCAATATCAGTTCTTGAAATTACAGAATTTTCTTCGCATAAATAGGAGAAACAAGGAAGCATCAAGTATTGACGTTGAGATGTTTTCCATTTAAAAAATAAAGTATGATAGGAAGTCTACAACGTCGCGCAAGTCGAGATACGTGGTCTGGTAATTTCACCGTCGATATATTATAAATAGAATACTTATTGTATCTTCTGAAGTATATCTTCTTTTGCAAAATTTGAGTTTTATTTGGACATTGATTCGATTAGAGTACCTTTATAGACAGAGTATGGCCATTCGTATTTTTTTACTACAGAAAAACTGTTCCGCTTTTTGATTGGTCGACGAGTTTTTAGGCTTCATGATGCTCTTAGGGCCGTAAATAAACAAACATACTGGCGGCTCGCCGTAACATCGATAAGAAGCTAAATTTGACAAAAATTTCAATTATGCGGCAGTAACAATTTAAACTAGCATGCCTATGAATAACACATGAGAAACACATGAAAACATTGTTAAATCGCCTTTCACCTTCATCACAGGAGGATGTAAGATGTGCATAACCTCAATCTTGCTTGCTGATAACAGCCATCTTGTTTGTTTATTTACGGCCCTAAGAACATCGTGTCAGCCTATTTTCACGCGACCAATGAAAAACCGGAACAGAAATGGCCATACTCTGTCTATGAAGGTACTCTAGATTCCATTGGCATCCCACCTGATCGCATTGATGAGATCTAAAACATCGTGTTCGGTCAGGTGGCAGAGAGCCTCGCAAACATAGGCGTTCTCGGGGAGACTGTGCACCATCTGGGTGTAGAGCGCGACAATGAGAAGGTGCGCGAGAACGCAGTCTGCAATCGGCATGACGTGCGCCGGAAGTTGATTCGCGATGATCTCGCACATTATGAAGACGTTGGCAGGCAAGCAGTCCAGGATCTCGCTCAACGACGTCATCGCTAGCTTTATCGTGTCTTCCACACTCATCGAGTTCTGCAACAAAATAGCAAGGAATGGATCACTAGACGAGGTACTAATTTCAGCATTCTGATTAATGTTTCTTAACCAAAATTTTACGTAAAACACGATGCCTACAACGAAAGTTACCGAAATCAACTCCTTACGAAGATATTCAATGATTCTTGATGCGTAAATTCAAACCACCCGCTCATAAAAACTCAATGCTCTACGTGATTCACATCGCGCGCTAAACGTTATCATGACAGTCTCTGCGATAAAAAAAAATCTGGCAACTTCAATTTTAACGCTTTGGCTCAGCTATAGCAAGTTGCTTATAGTTTGAACAACACATCGTGGGAAATGAACATTGCTCGATTGAGAAGCTTGCTGAAACCGTTATGGTGCGCGATTTGACTCACGTAGAGCTTTGAGTTTCTTGTCAGCGGACGGTTCAAATTCCTCGTAACCAATGTGTAATAAAAACGTTAATATCTTCGTTAAGAGTGTGTTTCAGTAATTTTTGCTGTGTGAATCGTGTTCTGCGTGAAATTCTGGTTAAGAAACATATATCAGATTGCTTAAATTCGTACCATGTCTAGTGGTCCATTTTATCCGTAGCGCGGATCCAACAACGCGACTGACGCCGCCGTGCTCAAAATCAGAGAGAAGTGGAGAACGCCTTCAGAAAGGGGAGTATGCAATGCAATATGCAGCACTTAGAAGCATAGCGACGGTGTAAGTCGGCAATCACATAACTCGTTTGCGGTATTTGAAAATCTCCGCCTCTATGTTATTTTATTAAAGGAGAACAAATTGACGTCATCCTTTGAAGTTTTTGCAGAATTTCCTTCGCACAGAGAAGAAAAATCACGGCAGTTTTAAAGAATTGCCGTTGAGTAGTTTTCCGTTTCAAAAATAAAGTATAATAGGAAGTTTGCGACGTCGCAAACCGAGTTATGTGATTGCCGATTTACACCGTCGATCGGTAGAGGAACGACAGCGTAGAGTATCGATGTTTAGAGGCCAAAGCCGCGGATGAAATGGATAGCATTTAGCAAAAAGGAACCAGCGCGATTACAGTGTTTTTGAAATCGTGCAACTTTTTCTTTTCCTTTAAAAATGATTAAAATCTACACATTTATTTTCCTTTGAAATTAACGATTATTTGGTAAAAGCAACAGTTTTTTGCTATTCTGGGAGATTTTTTAGATAATTATGAAGTAGCAACATTTCGATGGTGAAAGTGCAGAAGTGCGGTATCTCGGAAAACACGATTTTTCAGGAGAGTAAAAAAACTGTCTACATTCCTCCTTATCGTCAGTAGAAGGGTAATAATTCTTGAGGATAGCAAGAATAAGATGCTTTTTCAAACTTCATCAATATTTTGAATAATTTCTCGCGCTATTAGAAAATACAGCCGAGATGCCGAGATTCGCGTTTTCTGCACTAAGAATTGACACTTTATCACGAGATACGCATTTCTGCAATTAGTGTTTTAAACCTATTGTTGGCGGATTTCGATCATTTAAAAACTGAAAAAAGGGTTTCATGCTTATAATTCTTTATCAGAAGTTTTAGTTTGACCTCATACGGCCGGATCAAGCATTGTATGATTGGAAACGGACATTAGATTACGAGATACGCATTTCTGCAATTAGCGTTTTGAATGGCGCTCCAGGCCAAACTGCGAGTTTGGTTTCTCTCTCAACTATACCAATGAGAGGCGCTGTCTCTTGTATCGCTGAAAGACGAACAAATTCAACGCAAAAAATTCATTACTATATGTATACTTTAACTCTCAGGAAATGAGAGATTTTGTTGCCTTTTCTCGTTTTTAATTTTTTTTTCTGAATCCGTTTTTTTTATACCTAAATTTGAAAATTTGCAAAATTTGCCGCCCCCTAAAATTGCCGCCATGGGCCGAGGCCCATGTGACCACCTTCTAAATCCGGCCCTGGATTAGGGGCTGGGGAGGAACATTTTGACGATGAAACTCCTAAGCCACGTACATCGTTTGCAGTATTCAAAAATCTCCGCTCCCATTTTACTTTTTGGCGGAGAGCAAAGCAATTTCATTCCTTGGATTTTCCACGCAGTTTTCTTCACGCAGACGAAAAATCCCGGGGTTTTAAAAAATTGACGTTGAATGGTTTTCATGATAAAATAATGTATAACAGGAAGTCTGCAACGTTGCAAACTGAGATACGTGGCCTCGTCGTTTCACCGTCTATTTGGGTTCATTACTACACAGATCGATGTTAATGTCAACCTGCGATAACTATGAGAGATGAACAAATTTTCACTTTGTGTGCGTCGTTTTTCCATCTTTTTAATCCATGAAATCGAAGAAAAAAAAAAAAAAAAAAAAAAAAAAAAAAAAAAAAAATTTACCATCCAATTTTCGTTGTTACAGAGAGGTTACTTGTTGGCAGCCCATGTTTTGCCGTTACGCTTAAAATCGGCCACGTTTAATAGAGATACATCTAGTCGCTTTCAGTTTGGACCAGGTTTCAGGTTTGAAGTTTCATTTATTCATAAAACTTAGGTAATGTTAAATGTGAAGTTTAACGTGCTTTCAGGCTTAAAAATGTTTTCTCGACTTTGAATTTTAGCCAGGACACGATGTAAGACTATTTGCATTAAACTACTTCAAACACTTCTCTTTTCAAAATGCGGCATAGTAACTGGTAAGTTCCTGCTGAATCTGGTCCAATTCGTTGCTCCTATGGCGTAAGGGTGTATCTCAAATTCCGCATGAGTCCCGGCACATTGGTTTTGAAAAAAAAAAAAAAAAAAAAAAAATGCGACAAAAATGTACCATAAAATGGTTTGCTCGGGGTGAGTCCATGGTACGTGCACACTTAAAATCGCGAAACAATCAAAATCTTGGCTAGTGCTATTTTCGAAATACGCGCTTTGAAATTTTCATAGTAAATGGAACTTTTCTACTGATCTTGATCCACTTTTTATTTATTTGTACATTGAATCGGTGTTGATCGGTTCACGTTTTTATTTTTTGTTCGAATCAAGTCGATCGAATACATGCCCTCTCTTTACACGCACACTTCCTTTCATACTCTTTTTTTTAACCGAAAAATTCGCCTTCTGCTGCGTCTGCGGCAATTGTTGTTACGAGTATGCGGTGCGTGCTGGTTTCAGGTAGTTACATACTCGACTCTTTGAAGGCGTTTTGTGTGCGAGAGCAATTCGCACTCCAACAGGGTACGCCACTTGCGCACATAAAACGCCTTCAGAGAGTCGAGTATGTAATGACCTGAAACCAGCACGAAAAACATATTCGTAACAACAATTGCTGCAGACGCAGCTGAAGGCGAATTGCACTCGCACATAAAACGCCTTCAGAGATTCGTGTATGTAATGACCTGAAACCAGCACGCACAACATATTCGTATAACAACAATTGCCGCAGACGCAGCTGAAGACGAATTTTTCAGTTAAAAAAAATAGGATATGAAAGGAAGTGTGCGTGTAACGAGAGGGTAGGTATAATCGACATGAATCGAACGAAAAATGAAAACGTTAACCGATCAACACCGATTCAATGTACAAATAAATAAAAAATCGGATCAAAATCAGTGGAAAAGTTGCATTTACTATGAAAATCTCAAATCGCGTATTTCGAAAAAAGGATCAGTCAAGATTTTGATTTTTCGCAATTTTACGTGTACACGCACCAGACTTCCTTAGAAATTTTATTTTTCTTTCGAGAAGATGGTCAACATAAAACTAGAATTCTCCATGATTTTTCGTATTCGATAGCAGAAGATTTGGTTCAAAATTTAATGTCGTTAATTTGGATTGTTTCTCATGGAAAAGATGAAATAAGAACGGAAATTTTGAAACACCGCAATGGAGATACGTGGTTTCGCACTTCAGTCGGTGCGATTCGGACATCCGTCAAGTTCAAATCGTCGCATCAAGTCCGAGTGACAGCGATTGTAGATGTAAAAATATCACATTCGAAAATCGCTGAGTAACCGATAACGAGAAAGCTATCTCGCTGTCATCAGGTTACCTAATGGACAGCGTCAAGCAGGATGTAACCACAGGTTTTGCCAAATTTAATTTGGCAATTGACTTTTTTAAATGAAAACGGTTGTGCGGATTTTGGTGCAAATTTCACAAAAAAACGTTGGGCTCGCGTACCATTGAAGCGTCTGATTTGGTGGCCGTACCTGAGTTCAATCATGGTAGAGGAGATCCTGGTAAACTTCTAGGAATTTTTTCGATATTACGACTGACGCCAACACGGTACCAAAGCAGGACGGCTAAACATTAAAATCCAGCGACTTCAGCCGTTGCAGGAATTGGCTTGTTGAGTTGGTGCACTAAGTTCGCCTTCAATTTTGAATGATACTGTGCCACTCACGGGTGGTCGAATAGTTGCTTCGCCCTTATGAACGCAGAGTGTCGGATGCTTTCTTTTTCATTGTTATATGAGGACTTATCTGTAACAATAGCGGATGTGAAAAATTACCTTTTCGAAACACGCAAAAAAACTTTTTGGTTCACACAAAAATTTAATATGTTAAGCTCTGGCATTATGTACAGATCTCGAAGATCACATCTCAAGTATTTTCTCAAGATTTTCTCGATACCAAAACAGTTTTTTGAATGTGTTTCGAAAAGGTAATTTTTCACATCCGCTATCGTTACAGATAAGGCCTCATATATTAAAAGCGTCACCGCTTACATTTAACTTTTGAGGTATGAAGTATAGTCTCAGAGCTTTTGTCTCTGCCAAAAAAAAAAAAAAAAAAAAAAAAAAAAAAAAAAATCTTCTCCAGTCATTTTATAATTTCCTTCGTTCCCCTAGGTGGGTTATTCTCATTCAATTGAAAACAGCCTAATCGGCCCGAAAAGATAATACATAATTAACTTAAAATGGGATTAAGGCCGAAAATATGGAAACAAAAAATTTAAAAAAAAAAACCGGGACGTTTCGCAGCATTCCAACTGCATTTTCAACCGCGCGGTAAAAAGGAAAATTAAAGAGGAACAAAGTGAGCCTCACCACTGTTATTGTGAGACTCGCTTTTATAATCCTCAATTTTCTTTATAGAAAAATAATTTTAAAACTTACCTGTATGGCTTGATTGATTATGGGAACAACGTTATCCACGGAGGGATAGATTTCACTTAAAATTGCCTCAACCCATGGCGTTCTCTTCTGATTCCAAACCTGTGAGAAAAAGACAACCGGAAAATAAGTCCACCCATTCATGAAGAGTGAATGTATGACCTTAAAATTACAGTAACAGAACTATACTATAAATGGAGTCCTTCTATTTTCTTGAGTTTTACAACGCGGGCATAAAATTATTAATGTATATAAATGGAAATTTGGAATGTTATTAAGTTGTTACTGTAGTTGGACATTTCCAATTAATTGTGGTAGTGCCGCTGCTCAAGTTAGTCAGTTTTGGGGTGGTACCGCACACATTTCGGTTAATCGGGGTACTACCAACAACCCCGTGCTCTTTCTTTGGTGAGTAAGGAAAAACTAAGACATTTTGAGAGGAACCTGATCTTCTGATCAAGCTTTTTTAATCAAAATTAAACGCGAACGCTATAAATTATTCACGGACCTTGAAACCACCGCATGCTGATCCCTTATTTGCATGCCAATTAGTGTCCACAATCATCCGTGTGTAATTTACTTTTTCGGAGGGACCGGAGGACAGAAAGTAATCTTTCTTTATTGAATCAATTGAATTTATTTTTGTTTTCATATGCACTGACCAGAGAGTTATGGAAACTATGGCTCCAATCAGAATTGTGACTTCGGAAGACACCGGTGCTACCGAGGAAGAAATTTTGAATATTTAACAAGTTCCCAACTTTCATCACAATATACACAAGAGCAAACTCGACCGAAGTTTTTGGCAAATGACAATCTCCACTGCATAGAAAACCTGAAACAGAGGATGCTTGAGTTTAAAATAATTCCTTTTTTTTTTTAAAGAAAAAGAAAATAATTAAAGAAAAAAAGTCCCTCCTCGTGAGGTCTGAAATTTTGCGAAGACATTTGGTTACGAAATGGTTAAAGAAAATTAGGGATGAAATTCTTTTGATTTCATCGCAGTAATGTATTTTAGGAGACTTCAATTAAAATGTGTAAGTAACAATTTTTATGGCAATACCTGAGCAAGACGTTGATTCATCCTCTCCAACACCTCCGATCTCGACTGGAGATTGCAGTAATTTTGCAGATATGGTCGCGGCCAACCAGCAATTTCTCATTGTGAGAACCTAGAAACGAAAATTTTCAATTAGATTATCGGTACACCCCGATAAATTCATCGATTTAATTTTGCTTGTTGATGGTTAGTAAATGAAGAGCTGGAAAAGAAGGCGACAAATTGCAAATGAGTACACTCACTTTTAAAAGAAGTGGCCAAGATGGCTGGGGCTGTGTCAAGAGCACAGAGAGCTCCAAAAAAATCGACATTTTCGTGTGTAGATGAGAGGGATTTGCAATGTGGAATGCGGCTTTGTTTTGAGACGTCACTACGAATCGAAACCACGGTTGAACATCTGGGAATGCTTCCTGCGAAAAACACTTTACGTGTTGTATGCCTCGATTGAAAACCTGAAAAACAGTGACAGGACTCAGTTTCAGTCATGTTATTAGCATTTGTTCTCTTCTTTTAGAAAGAGAAAATGGTTCCAAAGTTTCGAAAAGTTTCATATTGTCAGTATTCGAAGAAAATAATATCAAGATCGCATCCTAAGACATTGATATCAAGCACTGTCGAAGTGCGCCTTCAAAATTCCGAATATCGACGGTGAAACTACCAGACCACGTATCTCGTTTGCGGTGTTTAAAAATCTCCACTCACATTTTATTTTTTTGAAGGAGATCAAACCAATATCATTCCTTACAATTTTCACAGATTTTTCTCCGCACAAAGAAGAAAAATCACGAAAGTTTTCACGAATTGACATTGAGTAGTTTTCTATTTAAAAAATAAAGTATGACAGGAAGTCTGCGACGTCGCAAACCGAGATACGTGGTTTGATAGTTTCACCGTCGATATGCAACCCCTCAACAGCAACATTGAAATTCTTGAAGTCTAGGAGGTGGTGTAAGAGTCCTTGGCGTTTACCAGCCAGCGCTTAGAATTTGAACAGTGATGACTATTTAAAAATAGATGTCCTAAAACTGCATGTATGTGTCGATTTGAATGTTATTGTTAATTGTGGGATTAGCCCTTGTGGGCTATTTGAAGTGGTAAAAAAAAAAAAAAAAAAAAAAAAAAAAAAAAAAAAAAAAAATTGTTAAGCATTTTTCGGAGATAATCTTCATTAGAAAATAGAAAAAATTATCAGAAAAGTCACTCCAAAGATCGACGAAGTAAATTAAGACCGCATACTGCATCCTTTACTTTATCTGTGGGCCGATCATTGAAGTTTCATGTGAGCACGATTATTGACATCGAGATGCGATATTTTTCAGGGTACAGATAGGGCTATATTTTATCTTGTGCTGAGCTGGTTTCAATAATGCGCCTGCGGGGGTAAGTGAGTAGTCACTGTGAAAAAAGAGCATGTCGATGGCCAAGGAGCAAACTCAAGTATCTACGTTTTCAACATCTCAGACTTCCCGTCATACTCTTATTTCACCATGAAAACAAGTCAACTTAATTTCTTGGAAACTTCCGTGATTTTTCCTCTGAAGTAGTTCATACCATAGGACTTTAAAGTTATGTAATTGACTTGTTTTTCTTCGAAAAAATAAAGTAGGGACAGAGATTTCGAAGGACCGTGATAGAGATACGTGGTTTCGCACTTTTGCCATTTATATGCTTAATTTTAGGCCACTCATACTATCAAAACTTTTAAAAAAACTGCTCAGAATTGGCTTACCACCTCGTCTCAATGACTCAAGAGAGAGTACATGGAATACCGCGTCTAAGAAAACAAAAAATTTGCTTGTTTTATTCAATATTTTATTGTTTAACTTATAAATTGAAGCCGTCGTGACACTAGAAGAATCATAATTTCAGCATTTGCCATCTAGAAAACCCATTACATCGTTATGTCTATTTTCTGAAAACATATTAATAAATTAATTAAAAAGAAAAACGAAGGAGAAATGTCTCACCTTGTAAAGAATGGACAACGGAGCTCCTCTGACCATCAGGATTTGAAACAATAGATTGGCTTTCGCGTGAACATCCCTAATGACATTCGACGTTAACTGCATACCTGATAACTCCTCGCCCGTAGTACAGATACATAGGAGAAGTTGCTGAATACACTGCAGCAAATTGCTGATGTCTGCAACTAAAAGCTCGTTGCGAGCGACGCTCGTCTGTGCCTGAAAGAGAAAATTCGGACTATGTTAAGAGGAGAGGGACCAAACCACATCAGCAATTGCTAAATTTAATTGGGCAATCAATTTTTTCACATGAAAATGGTTGTGCGGATTCTTGAGCAAATTTCGGTGCATTTTCTGCATAGTAAAAGGCAACTTACTTAAAATTTTCAAAGGAATCTGCACATACGATCTCTTTAGAAAAATTAAATTGTCGAGTTTTTGGCTATAGCTGATGTGGCTTGGCTTCTCTCTGTTAAACGAAGTTCATTAGTGATTCAACGGAGATCTTCAATGTGATATTCGTAAAATAAGATGCTCTATGGAAGTGGCTTTAGAATCATACTTACAGGTCTTTTAACTTTGGGCAAAAATTATAAAGCTGTAGAAGTATGATAAAATACTATTAGTGTTCAGTTTTTTTATTTTTTGGGGTACTTAACGCTTTTCTTGTATTCTTTTTTATTTGCTTGATATGTTCTTTCTGAGATGACGACTCGTGTTTCGATGGTCTGCATGAGATTTGTGTTTTAAATAAATGTCAAATCGCCAAAACAAGATGGTACAAAACAATGCGGTAGTCAAAGATTTTAAAAAAAGAGTTGGAAGAGTATATTTGGTCCTATAATTTGCCGGTTTGACTCAAATGATGTATAATACTAAAACTACATTATTCTAATAACTGTATATTTTCTAAACCTATTTTCACACATTACCTGACTGTATCGGAATGTGAGGATGGTTAGAGATTCGTTCAACATTCCTCCTAGGACCCTTTGCGCAGTTCTTGGTGGAACTGTATTCCATAAACTCTCTTGGGTACCTGAAATAAACAGAATATCTCTTTGAAAAATTGTATGTACGGATGTTCAGATGAGTACAACGAATTCACAGAAAAATTCAGTAAAACCTGCTGATTATTTTATTCTCCTAAAAAATAAAATAAGGGCAGAAATTTGTGCTTGCAAAATTCAAATAAGCGTCGGCACTGAGGATATAGGTACGTGGGAACAAACTAGACCTCAAGAAACTCACATATTGTACAATAATTGGATCGCACTCAGCAAAAAAGAACCTGTGAATGGATTGTATTTAATAAAAAGAAACCAGCGCTATTACAGTATTTTCAAAATCGTGCAACTTCTCCTGTTCTTTTAAAAATACTTAATTTATGTACAGTATTAAAATTTACACTATTATTTTCCTTCAATGGTGAAAATTTTTTGGTGGGATGTCAAAACTACTCACTATTCTGGGAGATTTTTAGATAATTATGAGTGAGCATTTTTTTTACGACACTGTAATCGCGTAAATCCTTTTTGCTGAATACATGACCGATCCAAATGTTGCCTCCTCACAATTATCAAAAAAATCTCCCAAAATAGAAAGTAGTTTTTACTTCCCACCAAAAAATGATTAATTTTGAGGAAAATATATGTATGAATTTTAATACCACTAAATATTCGAATAGATTTTTAGAACTTTTGACAATAAAGGTCACAATAGGCGAGAGAAATGTCTCGATCCATGTTAAATAGTTTTCAAAAATAAGCTGCTCCGAAATAAATTGAAAAGGAGAAAAGGGAGACTGAATAAAGAACTTTACAAAAATTGACCTTGCATATAGAGCCACCACATCTGGACTGTGAAAGATGACCGTCCTTTCTCGAAAAAGGATTGTTGCGCCTTCCAATCGAGGCAATCTGCATCTTGCAAAACATAGAGAGAGATCAGTCGTATGTGAAGATCCAACAGTCGTTCTGCCAAAGCCTCGGCCATCTCTTGAAAAGACTTGTACGAACTGCTCAACGAAATTCTGATGCGCATCTTGCGTGATCATGGAAGCAAACCGAGGTAAAAAATTCGATTAGAAACTTGAACGGCTTAACAAGTTACCTATACATCGATCAATGAAACAGAGTCGAACAAAAGGGTGTCATTTCATGTAAGTCACGGAAAGTTAATTACATGAAATCAAAGATGTAAACAGTTGACGATTCAACGTTTTACATCTTTACTGCCCATTAATTTATGAATGGATAATTTGCTCGAAAAAATTGTATTGCCTCTAGGAGAGTGCTTAATGAGCTGAGTTCGCATTTCTTCAATTAGTCTGAGAATATATTACTACTTTTTATATTTCATCGCCTTTCATAGTTTGGAAAATTGCTTTTGGTTATCGATAGAATATAGGCCCTGGATGAGCCTACTCTATTTAGATTAACCCATGAGGGGTACGGGAAGCGGACCTTAGAGGGCGCGAAGCGCCCTCCGGGGGTTGAACCGCGTAGCGGCCAGGTTAAGATAATAACTAAGGAAAGTTCCCCTAGTTTCCTTCAGAAATGTGGAAGAAGCCGAGATAACATACCCCTCGGATGATTGAAAGAGATGTTGATGGTACATCCAGATGCAGTTCCTGATGAGCGCTGCCGCGCCCAACGTCCCAGTGAGCACAGTGAGGTCAGCGTGGTCAAGTGCCTCCTGAGTTAGCCCGTGGAGATGTTCCAGTAATTGCTCCGAAGATTCAGCCAGGGTTTTCGCCAAGGTTTGGGGTAGGTATGCAGTTGCAACTCCACCGCAGCCCCTCAGATTCCCCTCGTCAGACATAGATGCGGCTCTTCCCCCCACAGCTGTTAAAGTTATAATGACTCAATTTAGTAACTACGTTTCCCAAACTGTACGTTGGCAGTCCATAGTGAAAAGAGATCCACGAGTGGCTTTAATTTTTGTAAAATTTTAGTAGGAATGTTTTACTTGTCCAGGAGAAAAATGGACCGACTCTTTTGAAAATATCGAAGGATATTTTCATAGTAGTGCGGTACGAGAAGAGTAAAATTGTCGACATGGTCCATGTGCTCAGTCGATTCCCTATAGATAATTCAATGTTTACCCAATGGTTTCTGGCAGTAGCTGACGCCATTTAATGGTTTACTCTCTCTCTCTCTACCAACTACCTTATTGTTTCTTAAATTAAAGTGAATCTCACTTTTTTTTTTTTTTTTTTTTTTTTTTTTTTTTTTTTTGACAAATACAGAAGTTTTGACTTCGTTGTCAAATTCTTTTGCGTTTCAAATAATTTCCGAATTGAGCAAGAGTTATTTAGAAGAAATGGAAAGGAAAACTAAAAAGTGTAGTTATGTATCAACGTATATTTTATTGTCTTCCGTTGTCCTCGAAGTGAGGAGGTCAAAGGATTTCCTTCGAGGCTGAAATCTTCGGTATCTCTGCTTACGCGCTGCGCACTGCGCCGTGCCACGAGTGAACATACCACTATTTCAACTTCTAGGGACGCGCTTTGCATATCTGCCTAATTGAAGGCTATTTTACCAGAACGGATCACGAATTGATGAAGCGTGACGCTTTAAATCATGCGGTTCATCTGGTTTATATAGTGTGTTTCAGTTAGATGAAGATTAATTGGAAGTGAGGCTTACATTCGAAGAGTCTGGAGGACTTGCGGAAAGTCATAAAATACTCTTGTTCCCACCAGAGAACCAGCTTGACAGCGGCAAAAGAGGCGTAGTGCGGGAAGTCGAGAATGCCACCAACAACTCCAGCGCAAAGGTTTTCCTGCAGGACCATTTGATGTGCATTATAGTGCTCCGAATCTCGCTGTAGGAGGATTCGAGTCCTGTCCATGAGGTTCCCCTCTTCCATCACCTCCATCCTGAAATCCATTCCATTTTTACTCTAACTATTATTTGTATCAAACATAGTCATCACAAAATTAAAAATGTTCATGTTTGTGGTTATATCGTGTCTCTCTAATAAATATTATTTGTCGGTCAATTTTTTTTTGTTAAATCGGCCGAGCCCGTAGGTTATGCTGACGTATCATCAGTAGCACTTTTCAACGGTAAAATCGCGGCATTTAAAATGAAGTTGCGATTTTTTTACGATTTTTTGGCGATAAAATCATTGGGATTATCGCAACATCTTCGATCTTGTCACTATTTTATCTCTGTGAAATCGCGTTTGATAAAATCGAAATTTTTTCTCAATTCATCATGATTTTTTGTTCGATAGTATTGAGATAAATTGTCTTTGATAAAAATCGTGATTCTATCGCGAATTTCTGTGATAGAATCGTCTTTCAATGCTATTTTTGTCCGATAATATTGCAATAAATCGACGTTGATAAATCGTGATACATTGTCCGATCAAATCGCAACTTATCGCGATCACCTCTACTCGGGATCTGTGGATGAAGAAAGTGACTCGCTGCGCTGATGTACTCTCGATTCTCTCGAAGTAACTCACAGGGTGAGACTCGCCGACTCTCGAGTAACTAGCGCATTGGATCATCACCAATGCGATTTAGCTTCGATCCTGGTGACGATTTAAATTTTTGACGAGGTTGCAAATTTTCAACCTAAAGATTTAGTCAATGTAAGCCAAAGTAAAACTAACCAAAAAATGCCAATAGCACGTTTAGGTTACTTTGCACTCTACTTCTCATTTTAACACAAAATTTCGGTTACTCCTTACTGTGCAGAGATATAAAATATGAATTTGGAATGTTGATTTATGGAGGGTTGCGAAATCCCACTCGCAAAAAGGGGAAATTGCAAACAGCGAACCACGCACCCTTATCGCAGAGCGCGAGTTTCACACGTCTGACATGGCAGATAGCAAATATTTTAAGACGAGGGGCGGTTGATGTAAACACAGTGTTGTTGCTATGACTGCCGACCAACAGAGTTAGCGCTCGAGACCAAAGAGTAAGATCATTTGAATAGCGATTTGATTTTAAATTTGAAATGCCTCCATTTTTATCGTTTCCCTCCTTATTGTGAAAGTATCGGAATGCAATATTCAAGCCACTGCATACACCTGTCAGAATGAATTGTTGCATTGTGAACCATAAAATTAAGTAGGTGGCGCGCTGCACCGTCGATTGGTGGATATCTTCACCCTTTCAACTGTGTATGACCTTGCTCAGGGTTGAAAAACTTTATTTTACCTTAAAGCTTCAAGCCTATGATGAAGTTAAGAGCACTTTTTACGATCTACAACTTCCAACATTCGTTCGTGAAGTGCACTAAACATTATCTTAAGGGAGTAAAGGGAATAGGAGACTTTAGGGTTTTTAGATGGAGTAAAGTTTGAACTTTCGTTTTTATTAAAAGTAATATCATTATTTATTCCATACATAGGAGCCACTTCTATAGAGCTTTTTGGCGCTCTGCGACACCTAACCACCACAGTACTGTGTCCTTCCACAGCTCTTCAAGGAGCCCTTTTTGTTTCCGATTTGTCTTGGCTCTATGACCTACCTCGATCAGAATCTGTAAAAATGTCTCATAAGAAGGATAAATTTCACACGAGGATCCGTGAAAATTCAGAAAAGACAGAATTTCCTTCTGGAATGAAAGTCTATTTGTGAATGAAAGACAGCTAGAATTCCAACAGTTGAAACCTCCTCTGCCCTTTGATCACACCCTGAAGGTAGTTAAAATAGAGGCGTCCAACACCTTTCAAGGTAGATTTTACAATTAAAAAAAGGCTAATTTAACCATCCTTGTGGTTGAATTAGCTTCCCACTATTGTGAAATGTACATTTGAAACATGTCGGACATACTTTTTAACAATTGTTAGATCAGCAATCCATTTTTTTTCCGTGTAGAGAGGGACGAGAGAAGGGTAAATTTTATACAATGAAAAATGCCGATTTAACCACCCCCGCGGTTGAATTAGCATTCCGCTGTTGTAAAATGTACATTTGAAAGATGTAAGTGATATTTTACAACAATTTAATTGTTAAACCAGCGATCAATTCTTTTCCGGGCATAGGACGAGAGAAGAGAAGGGCACTGCCGCATTGAAAAGCGGGCGAAGTCAGTGCACTTGATGAATAAGACCCGGCTGAAAAGAATCTCGACGGAGGGTGGGCGGGGGAGGGCGGGCAATCGATGCAATTGATAAGTGGATGTAAGAGTAATGAAATACCTGAGCGGTTTATAATAAATCTTTCAAATTGGAAAAGTCAGAGGTGCGAGGTCCGGAGAAAAGCGACGGGCGCTCGACTTCGATCGGGAGCGGGCGACGACTAAGGAGTCAATGTTTTCCGTATCCAGGCGAGGAAACTCGGGCGACTAGTCGCCGGGAGAGGAGCGACTAGTTGCTCCACTGCGCGAGGAAAGCGAGGGTATAAAAATAGGTGCTCCAGTTGGGAGCGCGGTAGTTCTTTGGTGCTATTACCGCCGTTGGTCAAGACCGGGTAGGCAATCAGTGACTCCGGATTTGTCGCCTCGTGATTGGCCCTCTCGCACGCTTCTCCGCCTTGCTGTGGATTTTGCATTCGTGGTTTTCGCTGTTAACTTTGAAACATGGTAAGCTGCATGTGTATATTGGCACCGATCTACACTGAAAAAAAATTCTCGGCGTTTTTACCAAGGTCCGTTGGTAGCTTTACCATCTCACTTTTTCTACCAATTATTGGTAATTCTACCAAGACAGACTGATAAGCTTACCTAAAAACCGGTATTTTTACTGTTTTTTTCAGGTAAGAATACTATTTTTATTGGTAATCAATTCCCGGTAACTTTGCCATTTTATCTCGGTAATTCTACCACAGTCGATAAAAAATATTGGCGTTTTTATCAAGGTCCAGTAAAATTACCGAGAAAGTTCCATGATTTTACTGAAATTTCTCGTTAAAATTACCAATTCTATAAATGGTAATTTTACCAAGAAAAGACTGGGATCATATAGAACCCTGAATTCTTGGTAATTTTACCCTTTTCTTAGTAAATCCACCGAGATTTTTTTTTCAGTGTATTCGAACTTTCTGAGTATGATATTTTGGGCGACTTACATTTCCATTCGGAATCAATTTATTCATGGTGGTACATCCTTACCTGAGGAATTCATGAAAAACTAGGGGGGGGGTAGGAAAGAAGGCTAAATACATGATGAAAACAGAGACGTTTCGGCTCAGAACTGAGCCATTTTCTGTTGGAAAAAAACACTACAAAATATAAAGAAAACAAATTTCGAAAAAATCTGAGATCTGCGTGATGGTGGTCGAGAATAACAACTTTTCTCCCCTTGATTTTTTCATGTTACCATTGTCACAGACTGCTGTGTAAAAAATGTGTGTCTATTATGAGGCTTTCACGAAAAATCTCTTCTACAATTTTTTTCAAATTTTTAGCTCTTGGTGAAGTATGATTGGACTCTGGGTGTTTTTCTGTAAGAATAAGTAGTCACATGGAAGTCAGAGTGTCATGAATATTTTTTCTGTAGTGAGTTTTTTTCCAAAAATGAAGAATTCATCACACTCCTGACCGAATATCTGAAGAGGATACATTTTAAAAAGTTTCCTTTACTCCTAAAAAAAAACCTTCGATTCGCCGAGTTACATTTTCATATTTTTGAAGCAGTGCATGAAACTATTATGAAATAAAAAAATGGAGTGACGAATTTTGTTGTGCATAAAGTTTGGGACTTAAAGCACGCACGAGTTCGCGCAATTTTGAACTCGTCCTGGATAGGATGTTTGAGGCTCCCTAGTTTATGAAAAATAGGTAGAGTAAGCCCTTGTTTTTCACGCTCAGCTAGGATTAAGTCCATGTAAATAATCTTTAATTAATTAATAGAGATTGAGTTACTAAGAGATCAAGGATTCTGAAATTTACAATGAAGCTGTGAATTCAGCCTATATCTTGAAGTGCACCTTAGGAGTTGAATTGAAAGAATGCACTTTCATTTTTGAAAACAAATCCATGACAAAAGCTTACTTGCTTACTTTCATTTTTGAAAACAAATCCATGACAAAAGCTTACAAGTATCTCGCTATTTTGCACATTATGAAGATTATACCATAAAATGACTAAAAGGATGAGTTCCAATGCTCATATTATAGATGTTAAAAAAGTTTTATTCTAAGACATCTCGTAGAAAGACCGAATTTATCCTAAACTCACGAACCTTTACAGTGTGAGAAATTGTTTTAAAGTTAGTTATTACCTTAATCAGTACAACGTCTTCTCCCATCTAAAATGAATGGTCGATAAAAATATGTATTTTATGAATAATTTTCGTTAAAATTTACTTACTTTTTTTATCAAGCATTCAGGAGGTATGAATCTGAAATTTCTTTCCCCTCAATTTAAAATTTAACTTAAGTAGCTTACTCTTAATTTTAACGTTATGATTACTTATAATTAACATTATATGATTACATATAATTAACGTTAATAAACTTATCTCGTCTCTTCCCTATCGTTGATACCATGTGCTCATTTTGTACGAATCTGTTCCTTGAACTTCGTTTCTTTCGATTCTTTCTCACCATGCAATTTGCAGAATTGAATCTAATCTAATGCCATACCTGTAACTATAAAAACAGAAGTTAAGCAGTCCATACAATTTTCATTTTACCCATGTTATCAATTTAGTGAAACATTTGCGTCAATTTATACCTTTGCCCAATATCTAATAGAAGTGAACAGTGTTGCTCAAGTAGTACGGACATAAAATTTTCATTATCTTGTTCGTGTATAATGTATTTTTGCTCGAAATTTATCATTGCGAATAAATTGAAATAAGTTGAAATTTTTTTGCATTTTAAATTGCGTACCTTTTATACACATTGAACACATTTCATTGTCTATTTCGAATCAACATTTACTGACCAAATTTAGTAAAAATATTTTAATTCTTTGGCAAAAAATTGCAATTTTACCGCATTAAATCGCAAAATTATTTCAATACTTTCGTTACACTCTGCCACTTGGGTGTTCCTAAACAGTTAACATTGAAACTGAGCCTTTGATAGGTGTTCATCTCACGCAGCATCTCTTATTGTTAAAAATTTATAGGACGATAAGTCAAGGTGTAAGTAGCAGGGCTTATCAAAGATACCATTCAAATTTTACTAATATGAAATTTTTTTTAAAAAAACTAGGACTTTTTTTAATTTACGGAAAATTCCGGCTTTTACGAGTCGCTCGCTATTTAATTGTTAATCTCCGAACCGTTATCAGCGTTGTTGGCCGGTCTTTCAGCATCTTGAATAATACTTTTTTTCGAGGTAAAATTAATTGAAATCTTTCTCTAATTTAAGGCCGTGTTAAAAGAAAATAAAGAATCAATGGCAAATTTTTGAGAAAAAAGTTGTCTCCTCGTCATAGTTCACACTGAAGATCTAATGGGCCAATTTTCATAATTTTTGCGGCTATTGATAAGAGATAACGCCTGAATGAGTTCGCTTGATTCAAGTAAGTAACAGGGTCCTCGAAGCAGGCCTTAGAAGCGCTCTTGGGGGGAGGGGGAGATTAGACCACATAGCGGCCAGGAATCGTATCTCCTGGTCTAATCAATTAATTGATTATAGATTTTAATTATTGATACATTTCAGTCCAAAGCGCAAGGGATTCAGAGATCTTGAAGGGCAGTATCATGTTATACAAATGCATCGAATTTAGCAAAAAGGAACCAGCGCGAATACAAGGTTATACGAATTTTGCCTCTTCATCATCATCGAAAAAATCTCTTAGAATAGCAAATAGTTTTGGCTTCCCACCAGAAGCTTGTTTAAGTTAAAGGAAAATAACTTTGAAAATTTTAAAACTGTATTTATGATAGATGAGTTTTATTGAAGGAAAATGAGAAGTTGCACCATTTTGAAAACTCTGTAATCGCGCTGGCTCCTTTTTGCTAAATGCGATCCAATTGTTCTTCACTGAAAAAAAATTCTCGGCGTTTTTACCAAGGTCCGTTGGTACCTTTACCATCTCACTTTTTTTTACCAATTATTCGTAATTTTACCAAGGCAGACTGGTAAACTTACCTAAAAACCGGTATTTTTACTGTTTTTTTCAGGCAAGAATACCACTTTTATTGGTAATCAATTGCCGGTAACTTTGCCATTTCATCTCGGTAATTCTACCATAGTCGATAAAAAATACCTATTGGCGTTTTTACCAAGGTCCAAGTAAAATTACCGAGAAAGTTCAATAATTTTACTGAGATTTCTCGGTAAAATTACCAATTCCATAAATGGTAATTTTACCAAGAAAAAACTGGGATCAAATAGAACCCTGAATTCTTGGTAATTTTACCCTTTTCTTAGTAAATACACCGAGATTTTTTTTTCATCGTTGGACTTCGCGAATCCGTACGGGAAATAAAAGGCGACTCTTACAGGGGCTCCCTCTGACACGACGAGAGCAATGACACATCTAGGTCTTTCGGTTACGAATTGCATGATAGAAAAGGAAACCCAGCCCAGGGTCTCAGAAATTACTTTTCTTTCCTCCTCCTTTTTTCTAAACTGCGAGCAATTTTACATGGCTACCTACCTTGTAGTAAGAGATAATGCAGTCGCGATCCTTCAAGCCAGATAAAAGCTTAACTTTCAGTCACGCAACCGACGTTTGTCCAGGAATCCTCCGTCCGATTCCTGAAGTCGAACTTCGATTGATATGCAGCTAACAGTCGGGAGATCTCTATCGCTCGGCGTGACTATCGAATATCGATACATCGCATTTCACGCATGTAAATTCGGCTTTTAAAATAATTTAGCGTCTGACCTCGGTGTTCACCCGGGTCAGTTTCCAACCGTGGGGGTGGGGGGTCAAAAGGTTACGGGGGGAAAGGAATAGGCGTGGAGGACTGCACTAATGCAAACCCTATTTAGCCTTAGCTTGGCCCTCCTTTTCCACATCAAATGATAAGTTGCACCCTTGGATGGTAAATTCAACGCCCTCGCTTTCACGCATAGTCGATTTTGTCATTTAATAATATTTTACCGAGGGTCTCCCGCTCATCATGAACGTTATTAGGGACCGAATTTTTCCCGCACTTTTGCTCCGAATTACAGCATTCGCTGATCTGTCGAATCCCTGCAACTGGCATACCAAAAGCCTCAAAAGGATACGGGATGTCTCACAATTACAGCATTAAACCGCCAGACTTCAGGATCGTCTGTCATCGGTAAAAGGAGACTTCTCGTCGTTTCCGTGACGAAAGAACGTAACTACATTTCAATGTTGCATTTCCCTTCACAATCGTATTTTTAACTGGAGAATCCTCCAGGTAAAAATTGTAAAGGGGAATTAGGCATTACGAATTGCTGATTGAAAATTTTACTGATTTTTCTTTTGATCTCGTGAAAAAATTCAGAAACATTTTGGACACAAATTGTACTGGCAAATTCTTGCAGTAAATTGAATTTTTATAGTCAATTCTGCAACCTCAGAATGGAGTTAAGTCCTTTCGTCTGGGAAATGACGTTTTTTCCTTTAAAAGTTTGTTTTAAATATTTATGATCCCACCCGGAGCTTTCCCCTCAAAATTATAGGGTGGACTTTTTAAAATCAGGAAA